GGAACTCCAGATGTGACGGAGGTGGTAGCAGAGGTTTCATCGTTAAATTCCACATACTGTGTACGATCAGTAAGATAATTTTTGATCCAGTTAAGAACAGTAGAATTTCCTAAGGTGGCCTCAAGTTTTTGAAGTAGTTTCTTGTGCGATACCTTGTCGAATGCTTTGGCAAAATCGAGGAAGATTAGATCAGTTTGTTTTTGATTGTCAATACTCTGGGATACCTCATGTGTTAATTCCACTAATTGAGTTATGGTTGAAAGACCTTGGCCAAAGCCATGCTGATAGGGAGATAATATACGTTTTTCTTCTAGGAAAACAGTTATTTGTTTAAGAATTATGTGCTCCAAGATTTTACAGATTGTACATGCCAGGGATATAGGTCTAAAGTTAGATATATCATTTCCGCATCCTCCTTTATGCACAGGAACAACTTTGGCCTTTTTCCACTCCACAGGTAAAGAGCACGTTGATAGTGATTTGTTAAACATGACGCACAGATGTTTAGCTAGCACCTCTGCATATCTTACAAGAAAGATGTTAGGAATGTTGTCAGGCCCTGCTCCTTTTTTTGTGTCCAAGTTTAACAAGAGATTTATGACACCGGCCTCATTGACAATAATCGATTCCAGGGTACCTTCCGCACTAGTGTCGATGTCTGGAATGTTTCCGTCATCGACAGTGAATACAGACTTGAAATAGTTGTTCATTTTGTCTGCAGTGATCGGGTTATCTTTTTCCGGGGGTGTGTTGCTTTTGTTGTTTTTTGCAGGCTTTAGGTAGCTCCAAAACTTGCTGGGTGAATTTTTTAGAAAGTTTGGCAACGTTTTAGTGAAATAGTTGCTCTTCGCTGTTTTGATTTTTGTTTTTAGGTCACTCACAGCAGCAGTCAAATTATTTACTGTTACTGCTCCGGGTTTTCGTTTCATTCTCTTTCGTATTCGCTTTACTTTGCGTTTCGCATGTATTACCTCACGTGTTATCCACGGGTTGTGTTTCTTAATTTTTTTCACTCTAAGAGGTACAAAGGTATTAATACAGTGGTGCATAATTTCTTTTAACTGAGACCATAATATTTCAATGGTCGTGGAACTATCATTCGACAATTCTTCGAAGGACGAAAACTTTATAATTAGATAATTTAGTATGCTGGTGTCGTCTTCAGACGCACCAGCAGACGCACCAGAAACGGCTTCAGACGCAATACCTCGACAATCTCCGAACCTTGACAGCAATCGATCCGAAGAAATGTCGGTGGGAGTGACATGATAGTTCACTGGTGACGTTTGTTCATTGATTGTATAGGGTCCAGTGAAGCGTGACTGAAACTTGTCACACAATCCTGGAGTACGAATGGGCGTCCAAAGCAACGCTTCATCCCCTGTACTGAAAGAGACATCACGATGAGAGCTGTCGTAGCGTTGCTTGTGATCTTGCTGATTGGCTTTTGTATTAAGGTGAGCCCGTTGCTGACATTCCTCGAGCCTTGTGATGAATTGCTCTGATACGGTTGCCGAGGCGTCAGTTGGAATATTTAGGAAAGAGACATTGATGGTGAATGTTGGTGAACAGCCGTACACAAGGTAGAAAGGTGAGTAGCTGCAGTAGTTCTTTGAACAGCGGTGTTATGGGCAAATGTCACAAAAGGCAAAATCGTATCCCAGTTGTCGTGATTTGGTGTGATGTACATTGATAGCATGTCTGTTAGTGTCCGATAAAATCTCTCTGTCAGCCCATTAGTTTGGGGGTGGTAGGCTGACGTCATCTTATGTACTGTGCCACAGGTTGTGAGCAGGGTTTAGATTATGGTAGACAGGAACGTCTTACCGCGATCACTCAGGAGTACGTGTGGTGCACCGCAACGCAATACAATGGCATTGAGAAAGAAGTCTGCAACGTCTGAAGCAGAACTTGTGCGTAGTGCAGCAATCTCTTCGTACCGTGTCAGGTGATCGACAGCAGTCACAATCCAATGATTACCTGCTGGCGTGATGGGGAGAGGTCCGAGTAGGTCTATGCCAACGATGGCGAAAGGAGTCGTGGGACACGGGATGGGTTGCAGAAGGCCAGCAGGAGACGAAGTTGGTCGTCGCTTCCGCCGTTGACACAGATGGCAAGATGCAACGTATTTGGCCACAAAGGTAGAGATGCCAGGCCAGAAAAAATGTTTCCTGACGCGGCTTTGTGTTTTGTGAAATTCCAAGTGACCTGCGCATGGGTCTTCGTGAAAGGCTTTGAGGACTTGGTGACATAGAGAACGCGGAAGTACTGGAGCCCTGCGGTGTCCATCAGTAGTGTAAACGTAACGATAGAGCACATTGTTATAGAGCTTAAAGTGTCGTAGTTGTTGGCACAATCTAGCATTAGGAGTAGGTGATATGCCATTTAGGCGTTGGATAATGCAATTGCAATATAGATCATCACGCTGCCGTGTGGGGAACTCGGTGTAGCGATTTAAAGCCGGCGTGTCGATAACCGCAAGGTGTGATAATGTGATGGGTGACGCAGTGTCTTCCCCACCAGATGAGCAATCAGCTCACGTACTCGATGATGACATGGAAGGGGGCAGGGAGAGAGAGCATCTGCATCTTGGTGTCTTTTGCCAGACTTATAGGTGAGGTCAAAATCGTACTCTTGTAGGCAGAGCACCCAACGACCGAGGCGACCAGACAAGTTTCTTAATGACGATAGCCAGCACAAGGCGTGATGGTCTGTAATAACTGTAAAGTGGCGTCCGTAAAGATACTGTCAAAATTTTTGTATGGCCTAAGCAACAGCGAGGCACTCCTGCTCAGTTATGAAGTAGTTCTGTTTAGCAGCCATAAGAGCACAACTAGCATACTCAATAACTTTTTCCCATGAAGTGGCATCCCGCTGTAAAAGAACTGCACCAATGCCATGGCCACTCGCATCGGTGTGCAGACATGTATGTGCGTTCTCGTCGAAATGGCACAGAACAGAGTCGGATGTTAAAGGATGCATGCTTGAAGGCTTGAAAGGCACGCTCGCATTCGTCGTTCCTAGTGAAAGTTCATTTGAATATCAGCAGCTTGAGCAGTGGTTACGCGATGGCAGCAAAATCACTGATGAAGTGGCGGAAGTAGAACGCCAGGCCCAGGAAACTTCGTAGGTGTTTCTGATTTTCTGGCCGAGGGAAGCATATCACGGCAGCAAGCTTGTCAGGATCCGGCCAAACGCCATTTTTGCTGACAAGGTGGCCCAACACGTTGATGTTCTTGTTGGCGAAATGGCACTTTTTTGTGTTTAGCTGAAGTCCAGCATTAGAAATACACGTCAAAAGTTCGTCCAAACGATCAAGATGCTGAGAAAAAGAAGAGGAGAAAATGACGATGTCATCTAAATAACAGAGACATGTTTTTCATTTTAGGCTGCGTAGAACTGTGTCGATCATGCGTTCAAAGGTGGCAGGAGCATTACATAAACCGAATGGCATGAGTTGAATTCATACAGCCCATCTGGTGTTGCAAAGGCAGTTTTTTTTTGTCCCCTTCGTGCATAGCTATTTGCCAATAACCAGACCGTAAATCGAGGCTGGAGAAAATTTCAGCGCCTTGGAGAGAGTCAAGTGCGTCGTCGACTCGTAGCATCGGGTACACGTCTTTGCGCATGATCTTATTAAGTGCTCGATAATCGACGCAGAATCGCACCGAACCATTCTTCTTTCGGACTAGCACTACAGGTGATGACCACGAGCTGGACGAAGGCCCGATAACATCTCGTTTGAGCATATCAGCAACATTGTGCTCAATGATTTTCCTCTTTGCGGACGACACTCAATATGGGCGGCGGTGTACAATTGTATCGCCTTCCATATCAATTCGATGCACGGCGGCGGAAGTGCGACCCAAAAGCTTGGAATTGACATCAAATGAAGCGCTGTGTTTTTGAAGCATCCCCAAAAGTTCTTGCTTTTGTGCTGACGTGAAATTGGGATTTATTGTGGCTATTAAAGCAGCTGTTGTAGCATGGTCATCAGTACTCGAGAGAAAGATGGCGAGTCTGTGTGAAGGGGCACCAGAGAAAGTGGTTCGATATCTGTGAAGCAAATCACAATGGTGCCCTGGGGCAGTGCAACAGGCAAAAAAGTAGGGTTAACTGCCGTAAATTGTGCCAGGCTAAAAGCGATGATAAGTGCACCAGCGATGTAGCGTCCACACGGTGCTAGGAAAGCATCACCAGTACTGATCTTATCTGATGTCAGGGTCAGAATATTCGCATTACCTGGAGGAATGAAACAGTCATCAGCGGTTACGAAGCGCTGCCTATGAGCATCGTTATCAGATGAAAGCAGAGTATCTGACATGCGAATGACCCTCTGACGGCAAGATATCACGGCTGAAGCTGATGAGAGAAAGTCCCATCCTAAAATGAGCGCATTAGTACATGATGACAAAATGAGGAACTGTATATGGTGAAGGATGCCCTCAATAAAAACTCGTGCTGTGCAAACACCAGAAGGCTGAACAAAAACCGCATGAGCACAGCAAAGGGGAGTGCCATCATACGGTGTCTTCACTTTGCACAAACGGGAACACAAGTCCAGACTAACAACTGCACCTGTGTCCACCTCTGTCACCTGTGTTCACTAAGGCTTCAGTTCATATACCTTCATCACACACTAAAAATACATTCGAGGGGCGTTCCGGAGGAGTTTGATGCAGTCCGCAAAATACAGCTTTCCCTCCTGAAACTGCACTGTTTAGTTTTTCAGGTGATGATCAAACGCCGTGGTAGCCGGACGAAGTGGTGACAAGAAATTGCGCATAGGCGACGGTGCGAGGAGCGGAAGGTACTGGCTGCATTGAATTGCTGTGGAGATGGTGAGCTGCGTCGGCACAGTTGGTATGGGTGGCGATGTTGTGGAGCAGGAGCGAACTCATTCCTTTCGAAGTTGCCATAGCCACGCCTTTCATCTTGGCGTCGACGACAGAACCGTGACATGTGGTCACGTATTCCGCAATAATCCGCACTGGGCACGGCGAACCGCTGTCGAACTTGGCTCTAAGCATGCCACCCGTTTTGCTTATCCAGGTTCTTCTTGGTTTCGCTGGTTTCAACAACGTGCTCTGCAACCTCGGCAATCCACCGGTATCAACTACGAACGTGACATCTTGGCATGACGCACCGGCGCCTGACTGTCCGCCTATCGGCCACTTCGCTGGAGGTGTGACGTCACCAGGGCCACCGGGTATAAAAGAAGAGCTGCATCGCTTCGTCTTCACTGGGCACGGCGAACCGCTGTCGAACTTGGCTCTAAGCATGCCACCCGTTTTGCTTATCCAGGTTGGTCATGATTCTTCTTGTCGAAGTGATGACATGCTACTAGTGGTTCTGCCGTGCCCTCGGCGCTGTCTTTGCATTGCGTACGTGTGTTTTTCTGTATTCGAAATATTGTTGTGTGGCGATGTTGAGAGTAACCCTGGTCCAGATATCCAGAAATCTTTAGATAAGATTATAAAATCCCAGGAGTCAATGCAGAACGATATATCCGAAATGAAAGCCTTGCAATGCAAGCTTGATGCTTCGCTTTGCAGTGTAATGGCTAGACTTGAACAGATCGAAAAACATGTGACAGGTTTTCAAACTTCCCTGCAGCCTATAGCACCAATCGAACAACATCTGCAGTCGCTCCATAAGTCGGTTATTTCGCAACAGCAAAAGGTAGTGAATCTTGAAGATTACAGCCGGCGGTCAAATTTGCTTGTTTTTGGTGTACCCGAGGCTAAATCAGAATCTGAAAATGAACTGAAGGAGAAGGTTATCGGCAACATCTTTGATAAATGGCTTGGTGTGAAGGTTGCATCCGTTGGGCGTATCCACAGACTGGGAAAACGCATCAAGGAGACCGGTAACAGTGAAAATGATAGCGATAGAGGCGAGCAAAAAACCCGACCAGTAATCTTGTACTTCCAAGACTTCAATGAGAAGATGGCTGTTTTCAGTAACGTTAAGAAGCTGAAAGGCTCGAAAATTTACATTCACAATGATTATTCCAAAGAAACTCTCCGCAAGCGAAAACTTCTCTGGGAATCGGCATGCAAGGATAAGGATGAAGGGCTGGATCCAAAACTTTATGACGATAAACTTAAAATTAATGACGAAACATATGTTTGGGATGATTTAACAGGTACACGAATGAAGCTCATTTTGTCCCCCGCGCAGTCGCAGTCGAAGTGACATGATCCCGGCAGCGATTCTTAACGCAACAGGCTCATTGTATTGAATATGAATGCCCAAAGTGTTGTCAATAAATCCCAATCCCTGGAAATTGCATTACTTGCGCACAACCCCGACGTAGCAGTAATAACTGAGACTTGATTAACCAGCGATATCACTGACGACTGCGTCTTTCCTTTATCGTTTTCGGTCTTCAGACGTGACCGTGGGTCACGAGGGGGGGGGGTGTGGCTGTTCTGTTAAAGAAAAATGTGAAAGCTGTGGTTTTAAATCAAATAGAAGACCACGAAAGCCTGCTTCTCAAGATAACATTTTCTAGTTTCACTTTCGTCCTATGTGCGCTGTACAGACCTCCCAGTTCTGATTCTTCTTATTTGCGAAAGCTCCAAGATCATTTGTTTAGTTTCCGCAAAACCAGGCTTATGCTTGTTGGCGATATCAATCTACCAGGTATTGATTGGCCTACTGGATGTGTCGGAGCCGCAGAGCACTCTGATATTCTATCTGACATCATGCTAACTCATAATTTAAACCAGGTTGTCCTTGAGCCCACCAGAATTTGCGGTACAGCTAGGTCCGTACTCGATCTTGTGTTCTTAGATCGCAGTTTTTCTGATTATTCATTACATGTAAGTGACGGGATTTCTGATCACAAGGTTGTAGTTACCAATGTCTTTCTAGAACCTTAAAAACGTTTGGCGGGAGTTAAGCATACATATGTCAAAGACTACTCCAGGGCGAGGGACGAGTCTGTTTTGGATTACCTTGACATAGCTTACGAAAGCTTTCAAGGTAATGATGTGCGGCATTTGTGGGAAATGTTTAAAGAGCATTGCAAATTTTGTTTAAAGTCTTTTATACCTGATAAGAAAAAACGAACCAAAAGGGTCAATCCATGGATTAACCGAGATATTATTCACCTAAAACGGCGAATTAAACGTATCAAGAAGACTCGCAGTCCCGATTGTGATGTCTTAAATAGGTTAGTCTCCAAACTTTCGAGCAGCGTAAAATCCGCAAGGAAACGGTATTTTTGCGAAAGTTTGCCTCAGTTCATTTTAAACGATCCAGGAAAGTTCTGGAATCACATCCGTAGTGCACGTAAATCGGTCGATCAATTATTGGTTGATGGCAAGATGGAAACATCTCGTCTCTCCATTGCTAATGCTTTCAATTCCTTTTTTCATTCTGTGTTTTCAAACGATCAAGGTGATGAATTTTATATGGAGGCTCATTCGGAACAGATCGAGCTTGTTTCTTTTGAAGGAGTTTTTGAAATGCTTCTGCGATTAGATCCTAAGTGCACTACTGGCCCGGATGAAATCCCGAACGCCTTTCTGCGTCGCTATGCAGAATCTTTAGCTCGGTTTTTGACAGTCATTTTTCGTGAATCTTTTCGGACGTCCGTGCTGCCCCATGATTGGCTTATGGCTAGGGTAATTCCAGTTTTTAAAAATGGAGACCGTTTCTATGTTTACAATTATCGACCAATTTCCTTAACGTGCTGTTGTTGCAAGATGATAGAACATATTGTAGCTAACCATATTCTTAATGTACTGGAAAAAATAAAACATTGAGTCCCTTCCAACATGGTTTTAGAAAGGGATTTTCTACCGTTACGCAGTTGGTCACCGCCGTTCATAGTTTTAGTTCAATCTTAGATCACTCCGGGCAAATTGATGTTTTGTTTTTAGACTTAAGCAAGGCATTCGACAGGGTTCCTCACGGTAGCCTTCTTTTAAAACTTAAACAAGCAGGAATTCCTTCTACACTTGTAAATTGGGTTAATTCATATTTGAAAGATCGAACGCAATTTGTAGACATCGATGGTACTTGTTCCTCTTCTCTAACAGTGACATCAGGTGTGCCCCAGGGAAGTGTGCTGGGGCCCCTGCTTTTTTTGTTGTATGTTAATGATTTAGTGTCTGTGGTTGGTGATACTGTGAATATTGGAATGTTCGCGGATGATATCATGATTTATACTGAAGTGCAGTCTGCTTCTGATCAACATCGGCTAGATAGGGCTTTATGTGACATATCATCTTGGTGCGACAAATGGGGCATGAAAATTAGCACTACAAAAACAGTTCTTTTACGTGTAACCAGGAAACGAAACCCCATAACTTTCCGGTACAAAATTAAAAACACCTTAATCGAGGAGGTTAGTAAGTTTAAATACCTAGGTATCGTATTGAACTCCAGATTAGATTGGAACGACCACGTTCAGCAGGTAACTTCTTCAGCGCTAAAAAAACTTGGTCTTTTACGACATAAACTTCGAGGTACACCTAGTAACGTTAAGCTTTTAGCGTATAATTCCATAATTAGGCCTAAACTGGAGTATGCAGCGGTTGTTTGGGACCCGCACACGAACAAAAACATTAACGAATTGGAGAAGGTTCAGAGGAGGGCTGTTCGTTTTATTTATAATAAATATAAAAGAAGTGATTCTCCGTCAGGTATCATGGCACTCAATAAAATCCAACCACTACACATTAGACGCCAAATTGCCCGCTTAGCTTTTATGGAATCCCTAATTAAGTGTAAGACTGGATTATCACCCACTCCATTCATTAGTCCGTCCACCACGAGGAAAACACGACACACACATAGCCACAGTTTATCCCCATTCTTTGCCCGAACAAATACCTTTAAGTTTTCATATTTTCCACGCACGGTAGATGACTGGAATAAATTGCCAGAAAGAATTTTTAGTGGAAATTTTATGACAGCCCTACACGATCATTTTAGAAACTTTTAATTACTGACGTTCGAGTTTTGAGCAATGTTTCTTGAAGTTGTGCGTGATTTTCTAGTTTTATTTGGATTGGAAACCCTGCTATGTTTGTGCGAAAAGTCGGTTTCACCGTGGCTTGTTTATTTTGTAGTTCCAAGTGAATTCTGCGTTTTGTTGCTTCATTGTTTTTGTTACATTGCATTGCATTGTATGTGCGTGAACATTCTTTTTTTTCTGCCCGTCCTGCTTGGACCATTAAATTGGTCTGCAGTATTGTATAAATAAAAAAATAAATAGCAACTTAACCGAGATGGACGCCAGGCATGGAAAGAAGGAGGCACTGCCTTTGGGGCGAGGACATTCAGCGAAGGCTGCGCAGTTGACCCATACTGCAGTGATTGCTGAGAAGGTGACGCTGCAACCACCTGAGCGCACGTCGGCTTTGGAGCTAGGGATTTGCTCATACGTCATGGACGCTAGTTCCTCCCTCACGATGTTGCAGAGGCTGCTGTAGAAGGCGTCATGTTGAGCTCATAAGACGACGAAGTGGCCTGGAGTTGCAGCTCCTCGCGGATCATGGACCATATCAACGCACGTAGCTTACTGTCATGCTTTGGCCTGAGATCTGCTGTGTCAGGTTGTAAACGTATAAGTTGAAGGTCATAGAGTCACTGACACGTACTGATGATATTCGCGACCGTGGTGGGGTTCTTTGCTGCTAAAGCGTTCAATGCAACGGCGCCTATGCCCTTGAGTAGGTGGCAAACGCGGTCATGCTCCGCCATTGAGCAGTCGACGCGATGGCATAGGGCGAGGACATCTTCAATGTACGAGGTATAGCATGCATCGCAGTGCTGAACACGTTCAGCCAGCTTCTGTTTGGCTATGTCTGTACGGACAGAAGGGTTGGCAAATATCTGACGGAGCTGCTGCTTAAAAGTAGGCCAGTCTAGGAAACCCAGCTGGTGCTTGAAAAACTAAGTCTTAGCGACCCCCATCAGATAGAACGGTACGCGGGACAGCTTCACAGAATCATGCCAATAGTTAACCGCACTCCACGGTCATACTCATCCAACCAGTCTTCAACGTCTTCACCGCGAAGGCCGGCGAACATCGGAAGATCTTTTTGAGGGGCGGTGACAGTCCAAGAAGGCATGCCCATGGGAGCAGGCGGGGTAAATGGAGCCATGTTGTGCTCCTCTTGCGACATGACCGTGGGCTGACTATACAGATGGCGACCTGACCGGAGCTCCAGGAATGGTTTGTAGTCGAAAATAACGAAAAGTGATCCAGGGAGAGGATCAGGGAACTAGAAAGCACTCTCCATCACTTACTTGTAAGGCAACGTTTTGGCTGCAAGACACTTCTT